AGGGATCACCCACACACTTCCAACACCCAAAACTACCACCTTTTTAATGGTGATACAGGTTTTGGTTTTAGAAACCTGCCTTTTGTCTATTTCTTTCACTTGTGACAACACTTTATAACTGCTTACACTTCATGTTTCTAAACCTGGCTGGGCAGGTGGCTTCACAGTGGAGCTTATTACAAATAATGAATCAGCAACCCTAGGGGTCAGCTCTGGGAACCCATGTATGTAACAAGGTGCACAGAGACCAGCTCTCCACCCCCCCTCCTGCCCCCACCGTACCTGTGATGGTCTGGGTTTCCGAGGTGATGGTTCTGGTGGTGGTCTGAGTCTGGGTGGCAGGCACTGTCTCCTCCGACACAAACTGGACTGTGCTGGGGGCTGCCCCGGGCGTGCTAGTCAGCTGGCAGCCACTTTGCTTGTGAGCTACAAAGGCATCCAGGTTGTTAAACTGCTGCTTGCAGATGCCACAGATGTGGATGTCGGGAGTGAGCTCAACCAGCACCGTTGTGGCACCTGGAACTCCATGGGACAAAAGGAAAGTCACAGATCAACTCCAAATCGCTTTATATGACAATGCAAACCAGAGTCCACAGGAGGAAAAGATACATAGTGGTGGAGGTCCCGGATGGCACAGACAGTTAAGTGCTCAATAACTAACCAAAAGGTCAGACCCACCGACAGGCACATTGGAAGAAAGGCCTGGCAATCTCCTTCTGAAAGGCCACAGCCTTGACAACTCTATGGAGGGCAGTTCTACCCCGACACACATGGGGTCGCCATGTGTCAGAACTGACCTGATGTTTGGTTTAGTTTGGCAGTAGTCATGGCTGATTCCCAGCCCAATGTCCATTCTACCCCTCCCTTCTTTGTTGCAAAACCAAAGCCGAACCAAACCAAACCCATTGCCATTGAGTTGATCACGACTCACAAAGACCCTCTAGGACAGAGTAGAACTGCCCCACACAATTTCCAAGGCTATAATCCTTACAGAAGCTGAGTGCCACATCTTTCCCCTGTGGAGCAGTTGGTAGGTTTAAACTGGTGACCTTTCAGTTAGCAGCCAACTGCTAAACCACTGTGCCACCAGGGCACCTCTCTTCCTTACAAACAGAATGTCAATTCTGTCCTAGCAGCAGTGTACACGCACCCAAGTGATGGCTCATGATGCACTGTTAGCCATGGGGCACTACTGGCATTTTGGGCAAGAAAGTTCTTGGGCGTGTGGGGTCCTGCACTTTGTAGGACCAGTAGGCCTCTGCTACCTCAACTAAAAGCTAGTTGTACCTCCCAGTTATTATGGAAACCAGTCCTTCCACATTTCTAAATAACCTCTGCCCTCAATGAAGAGTTTCTGGGAAAATGTTGTCTTTTCTGATAAAAAAGGGAGCAGACACGGCTGGTACTGGCCCCTGTTCCCCTCTGCTTTTGATCTTGAATGCAGATGTAATGCCAGGGGCTTCTGCAGCCACCTTGTAACTACGAGGAAAATACTAAAACCCCTTCAGAGATACAGGCCTTACTTCATGGACTCCGTGAACCAACCTGGAATCGTCCATGTCTGGATTCCTCACTACACCACTACATCTGGGTTTTCTGTTACTTGGAGCCATTCCTTACAGAAAGGAACGTTATTTCATGATAGCAGTGATGTTAAGAGTTAATACTGCCCTAATATTTGGGAAGCACTTAGCACAATACCTGGCACCATATTAGAGAGTGCTGTAAAATATTTGTTAAACTAATTAATCTCTACATGATATGACTACCTTAATTTTTAGAGGTGTTATTCTTTGCTGTTTTACAACATAACTCATGTTTATAACAGAAAATTTAAGAAACACAAAAAGAACCAGAAGGAAAATCACTAAGAATCTTTCCACTTAAAAAAACTGTGTAAGACCATAATGTATTATAAAATTAATCCTTTTTCCACAAATCACCCAAGCATTGTTCTGTATCATTAAGAGCTCTTTAGACATATAATTGAGGAGCCCTGGTAGTGCAATGGTTAAATACTCGGATGCTAACCCAAAGATTGGCAGTTCAAACCCACCAACCACTCCTGGGAAGGAAAGTTGGACAATCTACTTCTGTAGTGATACCGTCTCGGAAACCCAAGGAGGGGTCGCTGTGAGTTGGGTCTGACTCAATGGCACATAACAGCAACAATGGCGACACTTAGTGAGGAAGGTCAAAGGCTACAGTCTTCAGTATGGATTACACCTCAACATAAAGAAAACAAAAATCCTCACAATTGGACCAATAAGCAACATCGTGATAAATAGAGAGGAAAGACTAAAATAGTCAGAGGTTTCATTTTACTTGAAGCTACAATCAACACCTATGGAAGCAGCAGTCAAGAAATCAGACATCATATTGCACTGGGCAAATCTGCTGCAGCAGACCTCTTTAAAGTGTTCAAGCAAAGATGTCATTTGGAAGACTAAGGTGCACCTACCCAAGCCAAGGTATTTTCAGTCACCTCATATGTATGTGAAAACCAGACAATGAGTAAGGAAGACTGACGAATAGTTGATGCCTTTGAATTATGGTGTTGGCAAAGAATACTGAAAACACCACGGACTGCCAGAATTGCAAACAAACTTGTCCTGGAAGAAGTGCAGCCAGAATGCTCCTTGGAATTGAGAATGGCCAGACTTAATCTCACCTGCTTTGGTCATGTTGTCAGAAGGGACCATTCCCTGAAGGATATCATACTTGGTAAAGTGGAGGGTCAGTGAAAAAGGGGAAGGCCCTCAACAAGGTGGATTGACACAGTGCCTGCACCAAGGGCTCAAGTATAGCAAGGATTGTGAGGCTGGCACATGACCAGGCAGTGTTTTGTTCTGTTGTACATAGGATCACTATGAGTCAGAGTCTACTGGATGACAACAACAACAACAAATGACAACACATTATTCCATGGTAGATTTGTATCATAATCTTCTGAACAAGTATATAGTATTGACATTATTTCCAGTTTTCTCTAAGTCCAAATAATATGTGAACCATCTTTGGGCATAAGTAGTTGGTATCCAAGCATCTCAATTTACTAGATATTTACATTGTATCCTACTCTCCCCCGGTCAGAGACAAGAAATCTCTATGCAGAAATAGAATTTGGTTTTCCTTCTGAGGAGAGCTCCTCCGGGCTCAGGCAGAGTGTTCTATAAGCCGCTTTGCACACTGCTGTGTGCGCTTTGTTGTAACTGTGAGATGCCATCAAGTCTGTTCTCACTCATAGCGACTCTATGTACAACAGAACGAAACACTGCCCAGGCCTGTGCCGTCCTCACAATTGCTGCGGTGTGTGCAGCTGCATTTTGCATGCCTTCCGACGGGAGGGGCTCATCTCCTGGCGCTACTGTTCTGCTGCTATTCGTAAGTTTCTCAGAGTGGATCACCGGGACCCTCTTCCTAGTCTGGGTTAGTCTGGATGCTGTGCTGAAACCTGGCCACCATGGATGGCCCTGCTGGTATCTGAAATACCAGTAAAATAGCTCCCAGCCTCACAGCAACACGCAAGCTACCACAGGATGACAAGCTGAGAGACAAGTGATAGCACGCGCACTTAAGTCCTTTGAAATCAATGCCCAGAAGATATGAAACCTTTCCTTTTCCCTGGAGTGCACCCTGCCCTGTAGCTGCTGGGAATCAAGGGATGAGGGGACTTGGATCACTGAAGATTCCTTAATGACAGACGGGGCTGAGATCCAGGCCCAACTTCTCACTGGGACCTAGGAGGATTTTAGTAACATATAATGTCACCACCAGTATGGTGGAAAAAGTGCACAAGCAATGACCTTGGCTTGCATTGGTATCCTGAAATAGCCTCTTGGTAACAAGTGATTTGAGCTTGGGTTTCGTCATCTGTAAAATGGGGAGAAGTTCCTGCTTCACAGGGTGGTTGCTGAGGATTAAATGAGATGGTGCTTTTAAGAGGCCGGTTTGTATGCCCCAGCAGGGTTCTGTTACCCGGTTATGTGGTGACTGAAGTACCTTTTTGACTTTGAAAGGATCCCCTGCTGAAAATGTGGAATGACGAAATATCCCTATGCTGTTGTTGTTGTTGTTGTTGTTATTTGCCATCGAGTCGCCCCGACTCATAGCCACCCCTCCTTGGGTTTCCGAGGCAGTATCACTACGGAAGTAGGAATGCCCAACCTTCCTTCGAGGAGTGGCTGGTGGGTTTGAACCGCCAGCCTTCTGGTTAGCAGTCAAGTGCCTTAGGCACTATGCTACCAGAGCTCCTATATCCCTATGCTAGTTGTTGAGAATTAACTGAGACGAAATTTTAAGAGTGGGCACAGGGAAGTGCCCATCACCCCCATTGCCTTTATCGCCACAATTCTCTCCATCTCTGTTTCAGCCTCAGAACGACCTGAGGGTGTAAGTAGGGGGTAGGGGGGGGGAGGTGAAGGCGGTTGTTAACACGCTGGTATGGAGCCCCAGCTCGGAGATAGAGAGTCATAATGGGGGTGGGGCAGGAAATCTGGGGTTTGGGGAAATCTGTGCTTCTCACAAGTCAGACAAACAAGGACCCAGGCAAGTTTGGAAGCCAATGTCTCCACTAACAGCTCCCAAGCTGAGTGCTCGCTGGGTACCAGGTGCCTACAAACCCCTCTGCCAGGGTTTCTCAAACTTCCTGTGCTTGAGAATGGCCCAGGCAGCTGGTGGAGGACGGCCGCTTCCCCGCCCCACCCCAGAGCTTGTGGGTGGAGCCCGGGAAGCTTTTTTAAATAAGCGCTCGCGCTCTCAGGTGGCTGGTGGGCGTTCTGCCCCAATACCACACTTTGGGAAACAATGCCCCGGGCAAAATCAGGGGCTTGATAAGACTGCTGCCCTCCACAGGAAATTAAAAATGAACCCCAAACTCAAAAAAAGCGGCCACGGCCCCTTTTCCCATTCAGAGCCCCACCTTTAAGGCGAAAACGGCTTCGCAGCAAGCCAGCCAGTCCTCAAGAAAATACTCCAATCCCAGGCTCCAAGCTTAGATTTCCAGCCATCAAGGCTGAAGTTTTCCCATCCGCTTTGCCCAGGTTACCCCAAATCTCCCCCAAACTCCGCCTGGGGGGCGGGGAATGCCCCGAGAGGGTGGCGATTGTCTCAAAAGCATTTTCTCCCACCTCTCCCTTGCAAGGGGTCTTGCCAGGCTGGAGAGCGCCCCCCGCCTGGCGCTGGGTTGGGTGCGCCCTCCCCGAACACCCTCCAGCGAGCCCTGCGCCGCGCGCCCGCCGCGTTCCCCGAGAGCCAGCTTGCGCCAGTCACCCCGATTTCGGGGCCCCGGGCCTGCTAGCTGCGACGCAGACGTGCTTGGGCCCGGGCCCCGGAGCGCGCACTGGGCCCTGGAGCGCGCGCTGAGCCGGAGAAGCACTTACTTTGCACCGAGCCCGGGAAGCCCTCGGCCTCGCTGCTCGCGTTCATTGCCGCGGATGGGGAGCCCCGGGCGGCGGGGGCGCCGAGGCGGGGCGCGGAGTTACATGGTGCGGGGACTTTTCCTTTTATTTTTCCACACCCCCCCCCCCAAGCCGGCCTTCTCCCAACTCCGCGAGGCGGGGAGGGCGGATGTAAAGCCGGCGCCACTTCCGCTGCCTAGAGGGCGCTGGCTGCGCCGCCTGGCCTGCTAGCAGCAGCGGCGACTCCCGGGGGAGCGCCGGGAGACCCGAGGCCCGGGCGCGCGGTCCCAGGGACCTTATACGGAGCACGCACCCTGGAGGCTCTGGGGACCCCGGGAGGCGAGGGGCGCGCCCCGCCAGCACCCTCGCGGGACCTCCCGGGCTCGGGGCGCCAGTGCACCTGCCGTCTGCCTCCGGGCCGCCTCGCTGGTTTGCAGAGGGCCCGCGTCCCAGTGCAGTTGGGGGTTAGGGGTGCGGGTGCATGAAGGGCCTGGGAGAAAGCCCGGCTGAGCGTGCGCACCCGGCAAATCAGGAGGACGCTGGGCGGGTCCCCTGCCCAGGTAGAGAAAGAAAACAAGTTGGTCCGCAGGATAAGAGACCAACTGGAATCGCAACGCTGACGAGTTCCCCGCACCCCCACTCTGGAAGTTTGCCAAGTTTATTGTGCCTCAGAATCACCTAGAGGCTGGTAAACAGACTGCCCACACCCCGCCACCCGCTTCTGATTAGTAGTCTGGGATGGGGCCCGAGAATCTGCATTTATGAGTTCACAGGTGACAGTCCCTGAAGCTGCTCCGTGTCCACTGAGGACACTGCCCTCTCTGATCCTTCCCCGCTCCTCGACCTCATCTGCTTCTCTACCTACCCGTCCTGCTTCAGCCTCATGCATCTCTGCTCATCTCCGGAGCTCCAGCATATTCCCACCTCAGGGTTTCTGGGGGCACTGCTGCCTTGGCCATCCCCCCTAATGCCTTCAGGACTTGAGTCCAATTCCCTTTCTGGGGAGGCATCCTTAGCCGGCCTATTTTCATATTGCAGTTCCCTATCCAACCCCCCCACCCCCATCTCCCACCTGGTGGCTTTATCTTCTTATTGTATATAACATAGCTATATCTATATAGAGAGCTCTACTTGGAGGTCTGGTAGCATAGTGGCTAAGACACTTGCCTGCTAACCAGACGGCTGG